AGAACGCACCATTCCGCCTAAGCTCATTTGTTATATCTAATGACAACAAGGCTGCTACATGCAGCCTACGACGGGTTAGACTCTGAGCTTGTGTAACCTGGCAGGTTTACTGGGGCTACGCAAACTTATTTCATAAGATCTGCAAATGTTTTTAATTTTTTCTTATTTACACTACATACGCTGTTACGAAAATTTCCCACTTGCCATATAAAACAGATTCTCTAAGAATCTAAAGTGTACATAAAAAGAGTCACAATAATACTATGTGATCATGTAATGACAAGAAAAAAAGTCAGAAAAAAGTATAAAGTATTATATGTAAACAGTGAAGGGTGGCTGAAGGCTATCTCTGTGTTCAAAAAACACCTCAGAATTAGAGTCAGCTAGCTTTACAGAAACTTTACAAACTCTGCACTGTAAGTTATTACATTTTACATCATACAAAGTTACATTTAACTAAGACTACCTGTATAACTAAAAAACTTTCTTTAGCAAAGATAATTTAATTCATAATTCTCATCTGTAATAAACATTTCTGTATCTCAAAACAGACCATTATGAGAGGGAATGAAATGCTAAATGTCAAGCAAAAGGTGTCTGTTATGACCATTCACATCATCAAATGGAATGGATTGATTGATACGGGTAATATTTTTAACATAGGTTAATGGGGATAGTGTTCCCTACATAAAGATAAAAAGGAATAGCCCATTGCATTCAATAATTCTAGAACTATTTCTCAAAACAAATGTTGTTTTAAGCAGGAAGTTGTGTGACCACAGGAGTCACAATTCCAGGTGAGAAATAAATTTGAAAAAAAGTAGTTGTTCTTGAAAGATTAAATCTTGTTTTAACCAAAGAAAGAGATTAAAAAAAAATATAACTACAGATTATTTTGAGTAGAATACTGAGTGACATTTTCCAGAATTGGTGTCAATCACCTTTATGAATTGATAACACACTGAGCTACTTAGAAGTACTCATTTCCTCTCTTTGCAAAGAATGTGCTGACTATGGACAAAATGAGATACTTATGGTGTACTTGTAATATTGCCAGAATACAAATTTCCATCTGGGTTACAGAAGTCACAGGCAGTACACAGAATCCCATTTTGCTTGTCCAGTTTTCAATGGAAGAAGATAGATTTTAATTCTATGAAAAGATTTCATAATCTTTACTACAGAAGTTTCACTTTAGAAATTAAAAATGCAAATATGTAACATATGACACATCTCTGAAGAGCACAACTCAATTTGCTCTATTATATTAAGCGATAATGTTTATTTGCTTTGTCAAAGGTGTTGTGGGATCAGCTAGTGTCGTCATATTTCAGAAACACTGTATGCTATAGACCCTAATGTTCACATGGAAGAAACAATTGCTTACTGCATGCTATAGAGAAGCTGCATTTCATGTATAAGTTGTAGACAAAGCTACTCTTTTGTTGACATGTTGTGTTATGTGTATTATGAAGCCATAAGGTTACTCAGAACTTCTATTCTGCTCATGCAGAAATTCCAAGCCTACCACATTTTTTGGCTCTTCATAAACTATACAATTAATATAATGACAAGTTAAAATGCACTAAAATGCACAAGTTAAAAGAAAATTGTTACACATTGTGAAATGAAGAGAAATACAGACTGTGACAGACTGAGCAGGCATGTGAAAGGATATAAAGATATAGACACTTACATATCCGTCATCACAAGGGCTCATAGAGTAATATCCCTTTATGGACAAACAGGCACACATTAAAATAAAGAAGATTAAAAAAAATATGTTAACAGAAATTAATCAGAGAAATATACAGTTCTTAAAAAAAAATAAATCTAACAACTCAAAATTAGCTAAAAACTAACAGACTATTAGCTTTGAAAAGTATAAGCATCATTTCCCAATCTACATAATTGTATGTTTTCAGACTGAAATCAGGGTCTCTCTCATGATATATTTACATTACAAGTTCTTTCAATACCTCACAAACATACCTAGTCTGCACAATATTCCATTATAACTGTCAGCTAGAATAGCTACATACAAGACACTGACACATTTATGCGACTGTATGGCTTCTATTGTTCACTACACTGAAACAGCTAAGACAGAGATACCAACAAATATATCAATCAGAAGACCTCAGCTTCTGAGCAAGCAGCTGCAAGTATTCTCCGTAACTGTGTTGACTGAGAGTTTCTCACCAGTACATAATAAAAGCTGAGACAATTTAATGTGTTTCACCAATGTTAACAAGTCTTCGTCCTGAAAGGCTCCAAGGATAAGAGAAAAAGAAGCCTGAAAGGCTCCAAGAAAAAGTTGCTGGAAGGAAACCTAAGATTTACCTACCAAAATAAAATAAAAAATGGTGGTAATTCATGATTTGAGTAGTTCAGTACAAAATATGCTATGCTCTCTTTAATTAGACTAAAATATTTAACTTAGAAAGCTTTGTGTCTAAATAAAAATGCAGACATAGACAGCTTTACACAGAAGGTATAAGAAACTTGCCACTCTTCACTGTGAGGAGAAAATAAAGTTCTTTCTATTCTTTACCACTCAGTGGATAAAGAACTGGCTGGATGGTCGCACGCAAAGAGTTGCGGTAAACAGCTCAATGTCCACATGGAGACCAGTAACGAGTGGTGTCCCTCAGGGATCGGTGTTGGGCCCTGTGTTGTTCAGTATCTTTGTCAGTGACATGGACAGGGGGATTGAGCGTGCCCTCAACAAGTTTGCTGATGACACCAAGCT